TGTCATGGAATGTAAAACATGGAATCTAGCACAGCAGTGTCATGAAATACAAAACATGGAGTCTAGCACTCCAGTGTCATGAAATGTAAAACATGGAGTCTAGCACTCCAGTGTCATGGAATGTAAAAAAATTGAGTCTAGCACACCAGTGTCATGAAATTTAAAACATGGAGTCTAGCATTCCAGTGTCATGAAATGTAAAACATGGAGTCTAGCACTCCAGTGTCATGGAATGTAAAACATGGAGTATAGAACTCCATTTTCATGGAATGTAAAACATGGAGTCTAGCACTCCAGTGTCATGAAATGTAAAACATGGAGTATAGAACTCCATTTTCATGGAATGTAAAACATAGAGTCTAGCACTCCAGTGTCATGAAATGTAAAACATGGAGTCTAGCACTCGAGTGGCATGAAATGTAAAACATGGAGTCTAGCACTCCAGTGTAATGGAATGTAAAACATGGAGTCTAGCACTCCAGTGTCATGAAATGTAAAACATGGAGTCTAGCACACCAGTGTCATGAAATGTAAACAATGGAGTATAGAACTCCATTTTCTTGGAATGTAAAACATGGAGTCTAGCACTCCAGTGTCATGAAATGTAAAACATGGAGTCTAGCACACCAGTTTCATGAAATGTAAACAATGGAGTATAGAACTCCATTTTCTTGGAATGTAAAACATGGAGTCTAGCACACCAGTGTCATGAAATGTAAAACATGCAGTCTAGCACACCAGTGTCATGAAATGTAAAACATGGAGTCTAGCACTCCAGTGTCATGGAATGTAAAACATGGAGTCTAGCACTCCAGTGTCATGGAATGTAAAACATGAAGTCTAGCACTCCAGTGTCATGGAATGTAAAACATGGAGTCTAGCACTCCAGTGTCATGGAATGTAAAACATGGAGTCTAGCACACCAGTGTCATGAAATGTAAAACATGGAGTCTAGCACACCAGTGTCATGAAATGTAAAACATGGAGTCTAGCACACCAGTGTCATGAAATGTAAAACATGGAGTAAAGAACTCCATTTTCATGGAATGTAAAACATGGAGTCTAGCACTCCAGTGTCATGGAATGTAAAACATTGAGTCTAGCACACCAGTGTCATGAAATATAAAACATGGAGTCTAGCACACCAGTGTCATGAAATGTAAAACATTGAGCCTAGCACTCCAGTGTCATGAAATGTAAAACATGGAGTCTAGCACACCAGTGTCATGAAATGTAAAACATGGAGTCTAGCACACCAGTGTCATGAAATGTAAAACATGGAGTATAGAACTCCATTTTCATGGAATGTTAAACATAGAGTCTGACACTCCAGTGTCATGGAATGTAAAACATGGAGTCTGGCACTCCAGTGTCATGAAATGTAAAACATGGAGTATAGAACTCCATTTTCATGGAATGTAAAACATGGAGTCTAGCACTCCAGTGTCATGGAATGTAAAACATGGAGTCTAGCACTCCAGTGTCATGAAATGTAAAACATGGAGTCTAGCACACCAGTGTCATGAAATGTAAAACATGGAGTCTAGCACACCAGTGTCATGAAATGTAAAACATGGAGTATAGAACTCCATTGTGATGAAATGTAAAACATGGAGTCTAGCACACCAGTGTCATGAAATGTAAAACATGGAGTCTAGCACACCAGTGTCATGAAATGTAAATAATGGAGTCTAGCATTCCAGTGTCATGAAATGTAAAACATGGAGTCTAGCATTCCAGTGTCATGAAATGTAAAACATGGAGTCTAGCACTCCAGTGTCATGGAATGTAAAACATGGAGTATAGAACTCCATTTTCATGGAATGTAAAACATGGAGCCTAGCACTCCAGTGTCATGGAATGTAAAACATGGAGTCTAGCACTCCAGTGTCATGGAATGTAAAACATGGAGTCTAGCACACCAGTGTCATGAAATGTAAAACATGGAGTCTAGCACACCAGTGTCATGAAATGTAAAACATGGAGTCTAGCACACCAGTGTCATGAAATGTAAAACATGGAGTCTCGCACACCAGTGTCATGTAATGTAAAACATGGAGTCTAGCACACCAGTGTCATGAAATGTAAAACATGGAGTCTCGCACACCAGTGTCATGAAATGTAAAACATGGAGTCTAGTACACCAGTGTCATGAAATGTAAAACATGTAGTCTAGCACACCAGTGTCATGAAATGTAAAACATGGAGTCTAGCACACCAGTGTCATGAAATGTAAAACATTGAGTCTGGCACTCCAGTGTCATGGAATGTAAAACATGGAGTCTAGCACTCCAGTGTCATGGAATGTAAAACATGGAGTCAAGCAATCCAGTGTCATGGAATGTAAAACATGGAGTCTAGCACACCAGTGTCATGAAATGTAAAACATGGAGTCTAGCACACCAGTGTCATGAAATGTAAAACATGGAGTCTAGCACACCAGTGTCATGAAATGTAAAACATGGAGTCTAGCACACCAGTGTCATGAAATGTAAAACATTGAGTCTGGCACTCCAGTGTCATGAAATGTAAAACATGGAGTCTAGCACTTCAGTGTCATGAAATGTAAAACATTGAGTCTGGCACTCCAGTGTCATGAAATGTAAAACATGGAGTCTAGCACTCCAGTGTCATGGAATGTAAAACATTGATTAGTTAGATAGTTTCAAAAAATGTAATTGTGTAATGGGGCGCTCCTTGGATACATAAACATACCTCGGCCTTTACCTTTTTGCTACAAATATGTTGATCTTTGTCAATACGGAACATGACTGGGGCTGACAAATAAAAAAAAGGAACATTTGCTGTGTACACATCGATGGAGTTTGACCTCAAATATGACACATGATTTTTGTATTCGGAAATACATTTAGGATATAACAGACCAGGAACAGCGGGGATTTCCAACACTTATCACTTTGGCACAGTAGTCGCTTTGTTTTCGAAGAGGTTGTGGGTTCGACTTCGCGCGGGTGTATACCCCAGTAAATAGCAAATATCCAGGTAGAGTGATTTGTCAGTTTTCACAATCCATTTAGAGAAGACATATCAGTTGTCACTTTCAGGTAGAGTAGACATATCAGTTGTCACTTTCCAGGCAGAGTAGACTTATCAGTTATCACTTTCCAGGTAGAGTAGACATATCAGTTGTCACTTTCCAGGTAGAGTAGACATATCAGTTGTCACTTTCCAGGTAGAGTAGACATATCAGTTGTCACTTTCCAGGTAGAGTAGACATATCAGATGTCACTTTCCAGGCAGAGTGGACTTGTAATCTGTCCTTATCGGGTAGAGTGAAATTGTTAGCTGTCACTTATCGAGTAGAGTGGGCTTGTTATATGCCACTATCGGGTAGAGTGGATTTGTCAACTGTAATTATTAGGTAGAGTGGGCTTGTTAGCTGTCATCCAAGGAAAAGGTGAATATTTTTTTAGGGGGACGTAATCTTTTGTGATAAAACTGGTTTATTATCGTAATTTTCTTTATCAATTAGGCTGCTGCAAATCAAATAGAGAAATGTGTTGTTGGTTTCTTCATTATCCAAGCTATTTGGCTTGACCAAACTACAATGAATAGTTTGCATTAGTTATCGCACAAGTGTATTACTGAGCGAAATAGATTAGAAAGATACACCGACTGAGAGAGGCAGAGAGTGGTGCACACAGCCAGATAGAGAAAAATACCCACAGATTTAAGCTTCATTTTTAGCATGAATCATACACATTAAGGATGAAATGTGTATTTAACAACGGCCAAGGGGGATAAGGATGTATGGTAGTTGACAGTTCTCAGCCGTTTCATTTTGTGATTCCTTCCTCTTTTCCCCTGCCTTGAAAATTAAATGTTATATGGAACATCCTACCATTGAATTGAGCACAGCAACATATAATATATCATATTTATGAACACATTGGTAAACATTCATACAGGAAGATCAATGTTATTTTTTTTTTAATGACAACAATAGAGCAATAAAATATGTATAAAATGATTGTAATATATGTAAAACAATATCAAGAGAATTATCCAAAGGTTTGATGATGGGTGGATCTAAGCGAAACAATATGTGATACCGATTTTTATGGCCACTCCAAAAATTACAGATGAATAATTTTTATCCTCGTAAAAATAAAAATGATAAATAAATCCTGCAGTTCCTGCGAGGAGGTCACGGGGATCAATTTGACACGCTGTCCACTAGTTCATCTTAACACCGTCCTCTAGGTCATCTTAACGCCGTCCTCTAGGTCATCTTAACGTCATCCTATAGGTCATCTTAACACCGTCCTATAGGTCATCTTAACGCCATCCTATAGGTCATCTTAACGCCGTCCTATAGGTCATCTTAACACCGTCCTATAGGTCATCTTAACGCCGTCCTATAGGTCATCTTAACGCCGTCCTATAGGTCATCTTAATGCCGTCCTGTAGGTCATCTTAACGCCATCCTGTAGGTCATCTTAACGCCGTCCTATAGGTAATCTTAACGCCGTCTTATAGGTCATCTTAACGCCGTCCTATAGGTCATCTTAACGCCGTTCTATAGGTCATCTTAACGCCGTACTCTAGGTCATCTTAACGCCGTCCTATAGGTCATCTTAACACCGTCTTATAGGTCATCTTAACGCCGTCCTATAGGTCATCTTAACGTCGTCCTATAGGTCATCTTAACGCCGTCTTGTAGGTCATCTTAATGCCGTCCTATAGGTCATCTTAACGCCGTCCTATAGGTCATCTTAACGCCGTCCTCTAGGTCATCTTAACACCATCCTATAGGTCATCTTAACGCCGTCCTATAGGTCAACTTAACACCATCCTATAGGTCATCTTAACGCCGTCCTATAGGCCAACTTAACGCACCTTCTCAGTTCAACGAGTTTAATATCACAACAACAGCGTGTGAGCAGAATTTGCAATTTCTATGAAAAAAAATTATTATTTAATCTTAAATTTAGACAAAGTCATTGTGTGTTACTTGGCCCCTTAAATTGATCTTTCTCGAGTATTCCCTTCAATTCGTTGATGTAGGTCTGTGCCATCCTCAATGTGTCGTACTTTGAGAAAATTTGATCGTCACCCATATTTGGAATGACTTGACGGAGTCGATCAAAGGCTGTGTTCAGGCTCCTCATCCGTTTACGCTCTCTCGCATTGGCCGCTAACCGTCTTCGTTTCTGAACCTCCACTGATGATCGCGCACCCACTTTTAAAAACGACGATTCATCGTTGGTGATATCCGAGCACACTGCTCCTTCTTCTTCGCTGACACTTAGAATTTCTTCATGAAACGGATTCGGGTCAAATGTCCTTGACATTGCAGAGCTCGAGCAAGAATAACGCGATGAAAGTCTCTTCAATCTTTTGACAGCACAATCAACTTCTGCTGCTCCCTGGAGCTCTAGCTTCTTCTTTTTGGAACTTTTTCTACAATTGGAAATGGCGCGTTTTGATTCAAGGTCACCGTGTGTATCGATCGACGGCAAACATTTAAACGCAATAGTGGTTAGGTGAGAGCTTGAAGTAAAGAAATCTGCAAAATGCACATCTCCGGTTGCAGGACAATACTGACGTGGCGAGTACGTGATGACGTCAGGTGAAAAGCTCAGGTCTTCAGATAATCCGAAGCTGGGAACTACACCCTCTTTGCCTGCTGGACTCGGGGAACATGGGGCTGAGACTTGGGTGAAATAACTCAAGTAACCGTTGCCCAGGTAACCATTTTGTGTACACGTAGTTTTTATGTTGATGACGTCAAAATTGAGGAAGTCCGCATAGAGCTCAACGTTTTCCATATCAATGGGAAAATGTATCGCATGGGGGCTCAGTAGGGAAGAGGTTCAAAGGTCAGACCATCGAGACTTCATCAAATGTCTGTAGCAAATATAAGAAATAAATAAACATGATCCTTTCAGATTGAACATTGATAGCATGGTTGGAAATTATCAAGTCTCTTATCAACGATTCAATGTACAATAAATAATAGAATCAAGTTTTGAATAATTATTGCCGTGATAAATTTAAATGCATCCAATTGTTTTTATAAAAATTAAAATTTCTTTATGCGACAATCAATGGTGATATTATTTTTAACTTCACCAAGCTTCACCATCTTTGTCGATCCAATTTTATTTTTATATCTACAATCCCAGCGAGCCACGAAAAAAACAAAATGGCAAAGATGCATTTAGAATTTCCAGAGAAAGAGAGAGCGAAAACCTAACTGGTCAATTGACCCCGGTGTAGAAAACCGAACTGGTCAATTGACCCCGGTGTAAATAGAACGATTTGTGCGCCTGCACTTTTTTTACTTTGTAAACCATTCTTGACATCAACTAATTATATATATATATTTATATATATTTACATAGCCGTGTGACGTGTGGATGATTGGTTAGTAGTGGACAGATTTAAAATTAGTTGATAAATCTACAGACATCAGGTCTTACCAAATATAGCTTCATTTATTCTTAAAGTACAGTAATCAGAAATAGACAAGGAAAATTGACAATATCTGAAAAGATACATATATATAGTACACGATATTGAAACGGAAACACCCGTAACTATACACACCCACACACTTATACATATATATACACTAGCGGATATACCTGGCATTTGCCGGGATAGCATTCGGTACGATGGAACTTCTACAGTCCACAGCCTTATAATTATTCCGATCCCAGTGGGCTCCCAATCCCGTCGGTATCCCGCTGCCGTTAGTATACCAGTTCCCAGTGGGATTCCGATCCCTCTGGATCCCAATTTCGGTATGATTCCAATCCCGTCGGTATTCTGATCCTGGTGGTATCTCAATACCAGTGGAATAACGATACAGGTGGGATCCCGATACAGGTTGGATCCCGGTAGCTGTCGGATCCCGATACCAGTGGGGTACCGATCTCGGTAGGTTTGAGTTTTACAGTACGATCCCGATCCGAGTAGGATCCCGTTTGCCGATGGATTCCTCTTCTCTGATAGAATCCCATTTCCTGATAGGATCCCGATCCCAGTTTGATCCCACTACCCGATTAAATCGCGTTACCGTTGGGTTCAATGTACTACTGGATCCCGTGAACGTTGCTATAAGCTTGTTTATTCCTTCATTCAATGTACTACTGGATCCCGTGAACGTTGCTATAAGCTTGTTTATTCCTTCATTCAATGTACTACTGGATCCCGTGAACGTTGCTATAAGCTTGTTTATTCCTTCATTCAATGTACTACTGGATCCCGTGAACGTTGCTATAAGCTTGTTTATTCCTTCATTCAATGTACTACTGGATCCCGTGAACGTTGCTATAAGCTTGTTTATTCCTTCATTCAATGTACTACTGGATCCCGTGAACGTTGCTATAAGCTTGTTTATTCCTTCATTCAATGTACTACTGGATCCCGTGAACGTTGCTATAAGCTTGTTTATTCCTTCATACAGCCCGTAGAACTATAGAGACATTTCATTCTAGATTAAAATTAGGAACCTTCTCCAAAGGTGTAAACCATAACTTTCTAAGTAATTATTTTTTAAACTTGAAAAACTATGCAACTAAATGCACTGCTTTGCTATAATACATTTAAGCTAAAAGAGGGGGCCCAGTGGGGCCCCATTCCATAATTTTACCGAATCAGTTTTTCATGAGATGGGGAACCCCATAAAAATCATTCAGATAATGGAGGTAAAATTTAAAATTTGTCCCATTAAAATCGGTTTTAAAATGACATAGCTTTTTATGGTTATCGAACTTTCTGGAAAATTCTAGACTGGATATTCTTAGTTTTAAATCCACCGATTTTTTTAAATACGGACGATGCAGGGTATTGCGACCAAGATAGTCATAGATCAATAAATTCATATAAAAACTAAAGTGTTGTCTAAGCCTATTAAGCTTATATAAGGAAAAATGAAATGGGGCCCCCGGCCCAAGAGGGATGACTATTATGAGTTCAGTACCTTTCAGTACTTGAAAATTGTTAATCAAGTTTATGTGTACTGAATTTAGTCAATATCAATATATTAGTGTAGGAGTATTTATAGGTCACTTTATTTATATAGCTCAAAAAAGAAAAAAAAACGAATTCTAGGCCCCCGGCCCCAAACGGAATATTAGAAAAAGCTCATAACCCCGTAAGAGTTCCTTCCGGATAAATGGATATGTGCCAGGTTTGGCTAAGATCCATCAATCCATTTAAAAGCCTTTGTGGAACTAGGCCACAAACAAACAAATTTTCACTTTTATGTATATATGATATGCTATGATGTTATATGATATGCTATGCTATGCTATGACTAGCCAACATACACGGCGTTGCCCGGCATTGTGTTCGGGAAAACAACAACTTCTACAGCCGTTCACTAAACATTGAAATTAAGCGTCATGGTAAAAAAAAAAAACAACAAAAGTAAAAAAAAAAAATAATTAATACTTGATCTAATAAAAATGCACATTTAAATAATTTGTGTAAATCTTGCGTTCCCCGATGGGATCGCGATCCCACAAGGGATCCGAATTGGATCCCATTTCCCAAAGGGATCCAGTTTTCCAATGGTATCCAGGTATCCGGAGGGATTCCGGTCCCGTTTAGATCACGATCCCAATGTGATCCCTATACCGTTGGGATCCCGATCCCGATTGTTTCCCGATCCTGGTTGTTTCCCGATCCCGGTTGTTTCCCGATCCCGGTTGTTTCCCGATCCCGATTGTTTCCCGATCCCGGTTGTTTCCCGATCCCGGTTGTTTCCCGATCCCGGTTGTTTCCCGATCCCGGTTGTTTCCCGATCCCGGTTGTTTCCCGATCCCGGTTGTTTCCCGATCCTCGTGATTTCTTGAGTCAGTGGATCCTATTTCCCGGTGGGATCCCAATTTCCGGTGGAATCCCAAAATAGGTCTAGGATCCCTATTCCGGTTTGATCATAATTCCGGTGTGATCCCATTTCCCGGTGGGATCCCTATATTGGTGTCATCCTTATCCCAGTGAAATCCTGATCCCGGTTCAATCATAATCCTGGTTTTATACTTATTCAGGTGTGTTCTGATCTCAGTTGGATCATAATCCTGGGTGGAATCTCAATCCCGGTCTGATCATAATCCTGGGTGGAATCCCGCTGGGTATCCGATTTCGGTGGGTTCCCGTTTCCCGGTGTAGTCCTGATTCCGGTTGGATTCTGTTTTCAGCTGGGATTCCGATCCCGTTAGGATCCCTTTCTTTGTGGGATCCCGTTTACCGGTAGGATTATGAAGGGCATGTTTAAGGACAATCCCATGAACGTCTAGAAATGCAAAGAACTAAAGAAACATTGCAATCAGCTTTCACATCCCATTATATAACACCCAAGAAAAAAATAGAACTTTCTGGAACATTCTAGATTAAATGTAATTTCTTTCTCGAATCGTATAAAAAGTATAATTTTTAAATAATTATTCTTCGAATACGAAAAATTATACAACTAAATGCATTTCTATAACTATAGTACATTTAAATTGACATTTAATAAAGTACCGTTTTAGTTATGTCTGAGATTGGCGGGGGGCGGGGCCCTATAAAAAGTCATTCAGATAAACTATAGAGTTAACATTTAAAATTTGTCACATTAAAATCGGTTTAAAATGCCAAAGATATAGCTTTTTTTTTAATTATCGAACTCTCTAGAAAACTCTATATCGGCCCTGCATGGATTGGATACTCTAAGTTTTAAATCCACCGATATTTCAATGCGAACAATGAAGGGAATTGCAACCAAGCTAGGCATAGATCCATGAATTCACATAAAACCTTAAGTGTTGTCTAAGCCTGTTGATATTTATATAGCATAAGAAAGGAAAATGTAAGGGGGTCCCCAGCCCCGGAGGAACTGATATTATGAGTTCACTACCCTTCAGTATTTGAATATGGATAATAAATTGAATGTGTTCTAAGTTTGATCAAGATCCATCCATTCATGTAGGAGTATTTTTTAGTAATTTTATTTTTATAGCTCAGTGGTTCTCAACCTTCCAAGTGCCGCGACCCTTTCATACAGTTTCTCATGTTGTGGCGACCCCCAGCCACGTAATAATCATGGTTGCTACTTCATAACTGTGGAGTATGTGTGTTTTCGGATGGTCTTAGGTGACCCCTTTTAAATGGTCGTCCGACCCCCAAAGGAGTCGCGACCCACAGGTTGAGAACC